CTTTGGCCTCTGTGTTGTTTATGCTTTTTTTTTTTTTCTTCAATTCAATATTCTGAAAATGTTTGCCATCTCTTATCAGAGAGCACACATGCATGCAGCCAGTGTCGTGTCCACCCAATGGTCGTGGGTGGCAACAGGGCACCAACCTCCGGCCAAGCTGCCCACTCACGAGCTGGCCCGGCTCCCATGGAGACGATTCATAAACAGTTGTATGAACTGCTAAACCTCAGTGGAAGTGTGTTGTATGGTGGATATTGGCGTATAGCACTGGCACAAAGTAAAGTCATGCATTGTGTTAACATGTCATACAGTAGAGCAGTGATGGGCTTTGGTGGCCAGCGGGCCACACTCTGAGTGGCCCCTCATTGCTAATAAAAATTACGAAATAGATACTGTACATAGATTCAGACACACACACACACACACACACACACACACACACACACACGTTTCCTCGATCGCATTGGATCTCTGCATACTCGCGGTTTGGCCCCACAGTATGTTTAAAATTCAATTGTCAAATATTTTTTTTTCGGGAAACGCATCATGGAGGTTCATGAGCATTTTAGGAGAAATTATTAGGTTGAAAAACTCTGAACCCCCCAATGACCATCAGTCATATTCCGATTTTTGTGATTTGCGGACTGGCACTATATTTATGGCATTTTGTCATATATCTGGTATGGAAGTGTGTGGAGCGAGAGTATGTGGCACCCCAGTAGCGCTGATCATAAAATTGTGGCTCCTTCCAACATTTAAGTTGCCCACGCCTGCAGTTCAGTCTGAATTCTACAGCGGCAATTGCAGATTTTTGCAGTTGGAGAAGGGTGTTTTGGGTTTTTTTTTTTTTTGGCTCCACATTTTAAGCAGTCCAACCTCCGGCCAAGCTGCCCACTCACGAGCTGGCCCGGCTCCCATGGAGACGATTCATAAACAGTTGTATGAACTGCTAAACCTCAGTGGAAGTGTGTTGTATGGTGGATATTGGCGTATAGCACTGGCACAGACAAAGTACAGTAATGCATTGTGTTAACATGTCATACAGTAGAGCAGAGATGGGCTTTGGTGGCCGGCGGGCCACACTCTGAGTGGCCCCTTATTGCTAATGAAAATTAAGAAATAAATACATAGAAAAATACACTATAGCTTTTCCAGGTGAATTTAATTTGACCATCTCTAAAATTTTGAGTACACATGTTCACCCGATCATTATTTCTTCTTCAAGAAGGAGCCAATAAATAAACTTCCAAAGACATCCATGCCTTTCTGTGACTCTTCCAGTCTCTCTATATCTCTGCTGCAACCTGCTGTTGACAATGTGCTACACTCTCAATTCAGGGGCTACTTCCTTCAAGGTTTGGCCCCACAGTATGTTTAAAATTCAATTGTCCAAAAGATTTTTTTTTTCGGGAAATGCATCATGGAGGTTCATGAGCATTTTTAGGAGAAATTATTAGGTTAAAAAACTCTGGAACCCCCCCAATGACCATCAGTCATATTCCAATTTTTGTTATTTGCGGACTGGCACTATATTTATGGCATTTTGTCATATATCTGGTATGGAAGTGTGTGGAGCGAGAGTATGTGGCACCCCAGTCGCGCTGATCATAAAATTGTGGCTCTCTCCAACATTTAAGTTGCAAATTCCTGCAGTTCAGTATGAAATTTACAGCGGCAATTGCAGATGTTTACAGTTGGAGGTCTCCGTGGCGCTCTAGTCCTCACCTCCTGGCTGTATTTGCTGACGTAGCTGTAGATCTCGTGGAGGGCACTGAGCGCATTGAACTCGCTGGAGTGGAGGCGCGCCTGCTCAGCCAGATAGGCATTCATGTCCTGATCACTGATGGCAGGCAGGCGGTTGATGTCCGCGTAGTACCTGAAACGGGAGACGCGCGCTGTTAGACGTGGGCAATCTTTTTTTTTTTCTTCCTCTTCCAGTCGTCTGCGTCCACAGCGGCTGATTTACATCGGAGGCGCTAGAGCAGGACAATCGTGAATTCACTCATTGGTGCGCGCATGGGTTTGTGTAATTGCATTTTATTTACACCTTAAGCCTCAACCTACCATGTCGCCCCTTCTTCGGAAACAACAAGAGTGCCAAGAGCAGAGAACTTGTCATAGCTTGTGTTTGTTAAAAAAACATTGTCAGAGGACCTTGAAAAAAAATAATCGTATATGAAACTGTAGTTGCAATGTTGAGGGAAAAAAAAAATTAATTAACCCTTTCAGGGACAGCGGTTACTACAGTGGGCAGCTTATCATGTTATCAGGTTACAGGGTGCATGAAAGGGTTCAGTGCACATCAAGCCAACAGGAACAGTAACACCGAACATGTTGCAGCATGCATCAAACCAAATGCTCTTAATAAATCACACAATGCTAACATGTTGGCATTCATTTTTAATCTGACCCTGTTGCGTAAGCGATCAGCGTGCATGTCACATCCAACCGCTCATTTATTGAGGAGCTTTTCACACCGACATATATTTAGTCACACACAGAAATGGATACCTTTCTACCCAGCTTTTGTAGTGCGGGATGTCCTTGGCGTAAAGCAGCTTGGTGGAGGGTGAGTCTTTGCCCAGCCGGTGCTCGGAGGTGGAGCACGAGTCCATGAAGGTCTGAGCCACCACAGACAGGCAGGCATCCGTGATGCTGCTCTTATGAATGTCAAAGACAAACTGCGGGTTTTTGATCACGTTCACCCAGAAGCGCAGGGGAAGGCTGGGAATAGCACAGGGAAGAAAGATGTAGTGTGGAACAGTTTCTGTTTAGATGAAATATCTAGTGACATGGCATATTTTCAAATATCAAATATTTTCATGGTGCATTCCGACTTCCTTCCACATTCCAAAAACATGCATGTTAGATTCACTGAAAACTCAAAATCGTGCATTGGTGTTAATGACTTGGTTGTCCTGCAATTGGATAAGAGGAGAAAGAGTTATCGAGAAGGGATGGACGGATTTCCATCCATCCATCCATTTTCCGATCTGCTTGTCCTCACAAGAGTCACGGTATGTGCTGGAGCCTATCCCAGCCGTCTTCAGGCACGAGGTGGGGGACACCCTGAACCGGTTGCCAGCCCATCGCAGGGCACACACAGACTAAAAACCCACGCTCACACCCACACCTAGGGACAATTTAGAGTGTTCAATCGGAATGTGGGAGGAAAACGGGGTACCCGGAGAAAACCCACGCAGGCCCGGGGAGAACATGCAAACTCCACACAGGGAGGCCGGAGCTGGAATTGAACCCTGTCGCTAACCACTGGACCACCGGGCCGCTTGGACGGATTTCAAATATGTAATTAACCCTTTCAGGGACAACAGTTACTGCAGTGGACAGCTGCATAAAGACTTCATTTTGAATTCCCCCCCCCCCCCACTCCAAAATAAAGGCCATTGCCTTTCAGGGACAACGGTTACTCCAGTGGACAGCTGCATAAAGACTTCATTTTGAACCCCCCCCCCCCCACTCCAAAATAAAGGCCATTTTTTTCTTAAAAATAACTGACAAGTCTTAAAAATTGCAAAATGCAAAGTGCTCGAATATTTGATGAATTTGCAAATAATGTTACGCATTTTGACGTAAATAAACACTAACACTCGTTTAGTTGAGGCAGGTGGGAATCATGAATATGATCACAAAATTCACATAAAAAATGGGAAATATAATACGGTCACATTCAGTGAATGAGAAGAATATTCCCATTCATCCATCTTCTGTAGCGCTTGCCCTCATGGTTGCACCTGAGCTGGTGCTCATCTCGGCAATCTGGGTCCACCTTAGACCAGTCGCCAGTAAATCATAAACAATCTTCATGTGGTTGTGTTTTACGATTCACCCTCTTCACTGGAGAGCTTTGTCGAGATTATTCAATTCTAAATAGTTATATGCATTAGAGGCGAGTGTGAGCAGGAAAATGAGGCGTTGCCATCCTCTTTGCCTGTAAGTAAGCCGTAGAGCAGCAACAAAGAGGTACTCCTGCTGGTGATTTATAAAGTCCATTGCAGCGGAGGATCACTTGGAAAACACGACGCTCACCAGTTGCTCTTCCAGGTATGGCGGACATCCGTGTCGTAGATCCCGTGTCTGTCGGCCTGCTCATCCAGAAAGTCAAACATATATTTGATGGCGAGAGGCAGGGCGGTGCCGCGGCACACGGTGCTAAAAAGCGTCTCGAACAGGTCATCCACAAATTTCTGCAGCGTGCCCTGAAGAGAATATTAACACAGAATTAGCCTTTTTGGATTCAGATCCTTAGTCTGTGCATGCAATAATTGGATGGATGGATTCAAATACGTAAGTAATGGATCTACATAAACACTTCAGTTTTATTGTAAAAAAAAATCATATTTTTTTGTGTGCTGAGTACAGTTTAATGTATTAAAATATTGTTTCAGTGAAAATGTATTAATCTTATACAATCTGTTACAAAATGAAATATGAGTATGCCTGAGTAGAATTTAAACATCGATAGGAAATTAATAATTAAATCATTATCGGTGTATATGTAATTAAAAACATGGAAGTATTACAATAAAACATGATAGCCACATTTCAAAAAATAAAATAAAAATAAAAATCTTTGAAAAAATACAGAGTAAAAATAAGTAAATCATATTGATGATGACATTACTCGTGATACTTGCCTTTGTCGCCAAGAGCCTGGTGAGGTAAATCTCCGACACCATTTTGCTGCCTCGCTCGCCTTCCTTCTGGTCTCCGTGCTCGTGGTTCTTGACCAAGTGCCAAACTTTGACCCCGCTCTCCAGGTCGGGGGTCAGCATGGGCACGCGGGAGTGAGGGCTGTCGGGGCTGGTGGGTGTGGAGCGGAAGGGGATGTCCACGCCTGGAGGTTCAAATTTTCAGTTTCATTGACAGTTGGCATTTTGTTCAATCAAGACTATCGCGCCATCCCGTTTTGCAACACTGACTGATCTCTACATAGCGATGGGATTTTTTGATTTGACTTTGGTTCACCATGCTGTGTGTTGAGCTTCATGCGCTTCGCCATTCACAATTTTCACCTTTGTAAATGAAAGCTCCCAGTTGATTTTTGAATCATGTGGGTTTATCTTCTCGGTACCATGTCGTTGTTATGAAGGACCAATCTCGATCAACAGCTGACTGTCTAGAAATGATACTGTTGCCCTCGTGGAATGTTACAAATCGCGGTTCATTTGTTTTTCGTTGACAGTACTGACCATATCTGCTGATACTTCTTGGGAAGCTAGCTGAGCATGGGATGTTGAACGACGACATCTGTTTGGGCACCAACGCCACCACGCAGCGATCTGTCACCTGGACAATCAAAGGTAGGTGCTTGACTTTTTGTATATGCATCACAGTGCTGAATGATAGTCGGTGTACGCTAGACTGCATCCCGAAAAAGATGGGGTTGAACCAACTAGAGTCGACTTTACTGTTCAGGTAGTCAAAGTTTAAAGGGTTGAAGTTGCAAATGGGTTGAAGTTGCAAATGAGGTTTTTGGCATCTTGACTTCCAATGGGCCAAGCTGCGGACTTGCCGGTCTGCTGCTGTCGCTGGGCGAAGATCGTGAAGTTGTCATGACAAATGTGTCGCTTTCAGTTTCATAAAGTGACACAAGTGGTGAGACATTGGTTTGTGTTGTAGCAAACAACGTTGACGGTGAATAAAATTTGTGTTTGCATTTGTTGTCTGCGTATCCGTCTTGTCTGTGAGATTTGAAACATTCAAACAACTGCATTTCGTGTAATGGCGAATTGAATTTTTAATTATTTGTTTATATGTATGATCTTTGAATCTTGCTTGATGTGAATCGGTCCGTGGCACAAAAAAGCTGGGGCCCACTGTACTGTGCTGAAAAATATGCATGACATCATCGATAAATCGATTTGGCTTTCATTATATCGAAGTCTACAACAAAAAATTATTGCGTTGTTCATCCCCATACCATGAAGAAAACTCCTCCCACATTCCAAAAACATGAATGACAGGTTAATGGAACACTAAATTGTCCCCTGGTGTGGTTGTGAGGGCGAATGGTTGTTCCTCTCTGTGTGCCCTGCGATTGGCTGGCCACAAGTTCAGGGTGTCCTCCGCCTTCAACTCCAACGGGTCACTCAGCACCAACATTTTGCCAACAAAGAACCATAAATCCTCATCCAAGGCTGCCAGCCTCTGCATGGTAGCTGAAGAATTGACTATAGAGAGTGTACATGTGTTTATAAACCTAAGGAACAAAATGTCAATGTACAACGGGTAACATTGAATAATGATTTGTCCTCTGTGAACTGTTTGTGTGTACCGAGATTTCCTTGAGCAACAATTTAAAAAGGTTTGAAAAACAAAAAAATCATTCTTTCGGTTGTTTCCTCTTCTGTTTTTTTTTTTTTTTTGCACACCTGGTAGTGAAGGAGTGTGTTGAGTCTTTTCCAATCACCCTCGATCTTGGTGGTGATGTCTTCATCCTGAAGAACGACGCGAGCCGTCCTGCCCTGACGCCACTCTGTAGTGTGCGGAGAAAATCACAAAAAAATTGGGTCACATCCGAGAGGGCTGTTGGACCGTTACCTAGGTGATCTCATGCCCATAAATTGACTTGGTCAATGTGGTCCTTGGGCATCCAATTAACACGCTGCTTTCTGGCTGACGCAGTTGGTGTAACACTCCCGTCATAGTGTCTTGGTTGCTTTATATTTTCGGAAAAAAAATCATTACTCCACATACTGTAATACCTACGTGTTTGAAGTCCGCCTTTAAAAGGCACGGCCTAGCGAGAGACATCGGGAGTTGGAATCAGGTTAGGTCATTAAACCACCTGTTGTGTTGCTAGTTGACAAAGACGACTTTACCACTCTGTAATGTTGGTTATACTTGAGGTCGATTAATTGCCAATCATGCATTTGGATGCCTTGCAGAAATCAAGAGATTTGGTTTACCTTGCAAATTAGTAGCGGTGCCTCTAGTGTGTCAATGAGACCGGCACACCTCTTTGCAAAATGTACAAGTCTGTCCTCAAATATAACAAAAAGTGCTACACCCCCAACCCCCCCACACACACACACACCCTTCTAAAAATGCGCAGGTGCCAATTGCGTCGTTCGCAATCAACCAATAGCCCAGAACTCATTCACTGCCAACCTTTTTTTTTCTCCCCCAATTGTCAACTTGCTGTGCCCTCGACAAACACAATCTTACGGATTTTCCTTTACTGACGCTCCTTGCTGTCCTTGGGACAGGGCCCAACCCGTGACTCATTAATCCAATCACATTCGGACACTTGCTCATCCAATCACAATCATGGACTTGCAGTCAGACAGTCAGAACTTGTAAAGTTAAGTAAATTCACTAATGGCTGCCGTATGGATTTAAGTCTGCTTGTAAGATTGTGTTGCACTTTTCCAGTATGCGAGCGACATCTGCAGCCAGTCCAAGATGCCCCGCCATGGGGGACGCCGCAAAACAAAAATCCTCCTCTTACTCTGTCTATAAAAAAAAAAAAAAATGGCTTGTTTGTTCCCTTGATCATTTTTATACTTTATTATTACATTTTGAGTTGTTACAAAACTGAACAAAATGGAAACTGCTAGTTTTGCCAGTTAGTGCCCTTGTATGCGCATGTGCGATGAGCCATAAAATGGATATGCTGCCCTGTATGTCAATCAAGTGTCCAATTTCATAATGGACGATAGTTGGCAGTCTTTTTTTTTCCTGGGTGGTATGACCCAATATCATTATTCCTGCTGCCGAGAAATGAACATAGCAGGATTGTTACAAGGGCTGTTGGAGGAATTTCGAGTTTCCAGAATTCTCACCTAGGTCCATGTCGTTAGCTTGCGGTCGCTGGGAGCAGGGCATGTTCTTGTATACGGCATCGAGGATCTTCTCCTTCACCTGGGTAATGGTGTCACAGTTGAGCACCTTGACGACGATCTCCGGACTGTTCTCATTGTCGGCGTTCACGCAACTCAGCGTCTGGCCATACGATACAGAGAGGAGAGAAAGAGGCGGCCGTGACTCTCCCCGGCTAAGCCCTTTTCATTAGCCGGTCCTCTTTCGAGTATCCCAGTAGAGGGGATCTCAGGGGCAGAAATGTAATTTCACACCTCCAGGATGTGGCTGTACAGCTTTGGCAGAGGCTTTAAACAAGTAATGAGACACTCTCCGACTGCCTGACACCTTGATCACAGAGGTGTCATCCTGCCGCCAGCGGAAACTTGGGGGAAAAGTTAGTTATGCTGATGAACCGGAGTGGAAGAGGCAGTCTCATATTAAGCGAGCCATCAGACCGCATCATCATTGCTGAATTACCAAGCAGGCTGCCAGAACCACTTGGGCATTTTGACTCTTTTTTTTTGTAATGATGTCATCGTTGTTGTGTGTCATTATTTGCACTTAAGTATGCAAACAAAGACCTCGGCTTTGTCCAATTGATGAGAGAAAAAACAAAAAACACAACCCAGACATGACTGTCTCTATTTTTCGATTCTTGTAGAAATGTCAAAGCGCTCGTTAACCTTAGCGGCAAACTCAAATCAAAAGCAGCGGCAGTTTTCCATTGTCACTTTTATTAAGCTCGCCTGCTGTTGTTGTGCTTGTGCAATTTCTTTCCACCGTCGGAGAGTGCTGCGAATGTGTCTAAATTCCATCCAAGACAAAAAATTTTACCTTTTCTTCCATGAATTGGCCGGACTGTTGTTCTATGCTGCTGTCACTATCACGGAGTCTGCACAATGATGCATTATTAATGTAATTGAGAATGCATCATACATATATTACTTGTATAAGAAATTCTTCTTCGACATTTGGGCTGTATTCATGTGCAAAGCTAAGTTCTCAATTTCTATTTAAAGTCCATGTAAAGTGAGACAATAGATTTGTTTCCTAATACATTATGCAGTGGAAGATAATTGTTGAACACATTCAAAGTCTTGGCGTGGATTATGGTCTTCATAAAATGGTGCTTGATCGTTTATTTTTGGCATTGACTAAATGGCCATTTGTTCCATTTTTTTTCTGCCTCCTTTTCTCCTTCTTGCTCTCTGTCTCTCTCTTCGTGAGTGACATGACCATTGCTCTCCCCGCATCATGAGAACAAAACAAGCCCTCGCCCCCGCCCTCTCCCGCCTGTCCTCATCACCGTCTCAAAGAGGCTGAACGGAGCAGAGTGGGGGAAAAAAAACACAAACGATGCGGAGCAATGTTTATGCCAATCTTGGCATCGCTTTAGAATAGTGAGCAACTTAAAAATACCATCATGCACGGTCACGCTCTCTTGATACTAGAGAGGTGAATGCAAAACGTATATTGTAGGCTTGAGGGGATTCAAAATGTTAACAGTCATGTCACTCATCTGACATATTGCACACGTACTTGGGTGTATTATTAAGTCACGGCATCATTTCAGCATCCTGAGCTGTAAGATGCGTTGTCCACTTGACCGATTGATTAGTTAATTTTTCCCCCAACTGGTGGGTTTACACAAGAAATAGTGAAATTTGAATCAAGTCGATTGGTTGCAGTTTTTTTTTTTCCTCGCTTTTGTGACTCACCAGCGTCTTGTATTCCGTCTGCTGTCGGATGAGTTTGTCCTCGCTGAGGGAGTAACGCGCCTCGCCAGTGATGGCGTCGATGGGTCCCTTCTCCATTTGCTGTTTGATGGCACAGAACAGCATGAAGAGGGGTTCGCCGGCCGACTCCTTTTTTGTTTCGGCCCACGCCGTGGATTCGAGGGAGAGGTGTGAGAGAAAAGTGGGAAAGGAAAAGTTGAAGATGAGGAGAGATGATAAGCTTCTCTGGAAGTCAGCAAATGTACTTCAGCGGGTGGATGAGTTCTCCAGTATCATGCACTGTAATGGTTTTGAGAAAATAAGTTGGTGGGTCTGTCTGGCTGTGTTTTTATCATGTGGTGTGTTGCCGATAGCTGCGCCAGCTACGTAAATTGCATGGCGTCATGGAATAGCCGTTCGATTGCATTACCTTGGCTGACTACGGGTGGTGCTTGGTTTCCGACAGGGTTCCGCTTAGTGTGTTGGTGACATAATCAGAATTAGGGAACACGAAATAGTCTATCGCTGCAGGGGCATAGCCGTCATTTTAAATTAGGGTTTCGGGGGGGAAATTATTCACGATTATACCAACGTTTATGAGAAAATTGAAGGGCTCGATACTGCGACTGATATCCTCGTAAATGCGGTCAACTTTTCAGTGTGTGCTAGTGAAAATTTCATTTGGTCACAGATGCGCAAGTGCATGTTTTAATTATCCCACCAGTGTTTGGGGGGTGGGGGGGGCAACTACAGCGAAGGCGCTTGGAGCACCTAAAAAAAAGTTGGTGACTTAGCCCCATCAACTCCTTCATTTGAGAGATGCCCAAAAGTGATACGGTACAACTATCATTTTGACGACGGAAAAAGTTCTGAATTGACATGTACTGCCCGTTGTGAGAGAATTGTTTTCTTACCTTCAGAAACTTGTGGAGCAAGAAGGCAAACCAGTTGGTCAGCATCTTCTCCGCCACTGACTCAGTTCTGCAAAGCAAAAACAAAAAAAAAAGGGGGGGGCGGTCATTTCCAGAGGAGAGCTTTGAGTGCTCTCGGTTAATTAAAAAAAAATAATTCAACGAAGAAGAGCCTGAAAGCTTTGGAGTCTAAAGATGCAACATAGGCAGACGGCAGGGGGGCAGCGGGGGGCATACTATTTGTAATCCACTTTCTGGGCCTCAGAAGAGCAAAAGCGCTTTGCTTTTGTGTGTGTGTGTGTGTGTGTGTGTGTGTGTGTGTGTGTGTGTGTGTGTGTGTGTGTGTGTGTTCGTGCCAGTGACATCGTCTTCAGGAGGGATGATGGCCGCGCGTTGCCACTCGGCTGCTTGAACATGTGTCCAGATGTCTTTGCGCACTGTTTTCTTCTTTTTAATGAGTTTCGCTTCAGATTGACGGCGCCCCCGCGGTGAAGAAACGAGTCATTAAGCATTCAGCAGGCTTGCCTCGCCGCTGGGAAAACAATCTGGAGATAGCCAAAGAGGCCGGAGGAAAGGTGACATCGGAAAGAGCGGACAAATATTTCATGAGTGGCACATGGAAGATAAGCGAGACTGACAAGGACTCAGCCGCTGCTGTACTCCCTCTCCCCCATTAGGTTGTCATCCTGTTCCAGTCCATCCTGACTTTTTCCATCACTGGAACTACAGCTGTCATTCTCCTGTCTGCTCAGGCGCCTCGACAACTCAGGTTCTCAAATAGTGCTTCGACACTGCTGAAAAGAGGCTGGCCTGCCTTAAACTTGACCTAGTTACTCATCCATCAGAAGCGCAGGGAAAGAGCCGAGACTAGAAAGAACAATGCGTGATGAATTATCAATGCTTAAAGACGTGTGGTGCTGAAAGAGGCGAGTTTATAGGTGGGATTTCATTCCTGGATGGCCCTCAACATAGTGCCATACTAATCAGGATCGAGCTGTGCTTTGTGGTTGATGGGAAAAACCCGGCCTGTGGTATAGATTTGGACTTTACTCACCAATTGTGATAATGCTCGTTGATGACATCATTGTACCTGCCTCAGTGTGAAAACAGCTTCGAGCTCACCCGAATACCAGCTCCAAGCTACCGTAACTAATCCTTGCCTCCATGGCGGCAAAAAAAGCAAAACTTGCGTATTGTTGTCACCGAAGGAGGATGAGGAACTAGGCATGCCACACGCTGAGCAAGAAGCTCAGGAGAAGATGGTGAAGCCATGTTCATGGCTAAGATAACGTGAAATGTAATGTAGCAAAACGACAAGACATACAAAAACTCTCAAGGAACGATGCCGGAGATTGAACAGGAAGTTGGGCAATTTGGAAGCAAGTAGCTGTATTGGATGAACACACCTTACATCTCTGATTGGCACAGTGGTTTCTCCAAAACTACAAGATGGGGCCAGTGAGGGGAGTTTTTTTTTTTATTTTTTAATTTTTTTTTGTGTGTGTGTGAGAACAAATATTACCAAAAGGTTTTTTTGAGGGTTTTTTTTCCCCCAAAAGTGCCGCTTTAACGGGTACGAAAATTATGTATTTACATTAAGCAGTGGCATGCCATCGGGGCCTTTAAGACCTTCTGTTCTGGCCCAAACACTGCCAGAAACACATTGACAACTTACATGAAATGGTCAAAACAGTCTTTCATCGCATGTGTCTTGGCCACATGGCTTCCAGTCATTATTTATGTATTTATTTATTTATTGTCCATCAGTTTTTAGCTTTGATGTGTTGCCATGCAAACATTATTTCAACCAAAGCCTTCACAATCTCGAGTGCAGGCGTCGACCACACCCACACATCCTTGAAATTGCTGGTTCGTGTTTTAGCCAATCAGATTTTAGATTCACCGCTGAACGCTTTTTCACAGGCTCGATGATGAGTGAGTTTATTCGTCTTCTAATTGTTTCAGCTACATTCGGCTTCTGGTTTGGATGAGCCTTATGTGCATTAAAGCTTGGTTTACGACACAGAATGATGTCAGATCATGATTAAAAATTCACTTTCAAGGCTCCTTTTATAAAGAAAAACTGGACTTTGAGGCTAGGTCAGCCAACACTATTTCTGGCTGACATGTTTAGATCGAGGCTGACAAACTTGCAAAACAAGGATGTCAGTTCCTCAGTGAAGGCCCAGAACCCTTCATTCTGGTCCCGTATGCTAGCTGTGTCTATGCTTTGCAGCACTGGAGCGTAAAACGCTGGCAGTCAGCGTGGGAGAAAAAAATGTCCTGATTGCAAAAGAACAAAGGAAAATGTTGGATGGCCTTCGATTTGGCTGAGCAACCGCATCCCGAGTTTCAAATCGAAATCAAGTCAATCTGGTAGTACGGTCCTTACAGGACATTACAATCTCCAGAAACCCAGAAAAAAAACATCGGCAGGCCTGCATGCCAGAAATTTGGTATCGTAGATTAAACACCAAACTACCATGTGGGAATCTGTATTGCCTAGAGGGACATTCAGAAAAACGATACGCGGGAACAAATCTCTCACAGTCAATTCAGTCGCTGAGAAAATGAATTTTAAAACTGGCCACGTACGTGATGCAAGCTGGAAGGCTTTTTGAGGACGACCAGAGATAACTCACTGCAGTGTTCTGTCGCGATGGGCCTACTAATGGCCTGAACGATGTGCCCGATTGGTTCAGCCCATGGACTAGATCGCAGGTGTTAAAGTCACGGCCGGGGGCCATATCTGGCCCGCCACACCATTTTATGTGCCCCGCGAAAGCAAACCAAGCATGTCAAGTTCCATGATGCTTGCTAAACTCTGAACCAAAATTTCAAATTGTCATATGTAATCCACAATAACAGTCATTCTTCTTGACTGCCGATTTTAACACTAGTTATCCATCAATTTGTTGTGCGCTGTGTATGTCATATGTGGAGGTGATTAAACATTTATATTTTTTCCCAAAATTCATAACGGCCCTCGAAGGGGAACCGTAACTACTATGTGGCCCGCGACAAAAATGAGTTTGACACCCCTGGACTAGATGGTTGAACGTCTGGGCACCATTGCCTTCATCATAATAATATTGATAAATATTGATTGTCAACTGCTATATTGTAGTGCAGAGGTTTACAGTTGTTTGGTGGTGTTTTGGAAGAATAAGGTTGTTTTTCGCGTTAGTAATTATCGCATTCATCCTCAAATCCGTGAAATGTCTCTATCTCTACTTTAATGCCACACATAGTTATATAGTGTTTTTTTTTGTTTTTTTTTTTTGGTATGTTAATTTTGTGAAGTAAAGGTGTTATTAAGTGAGCGGTAAATTAGGTCACTTGATTGCCCACTGAAGGTTCAGGCCCAAAACTCACTGCGCACCACCGACAATAGGATGGAACCTAGAGAATAAACAGTTAATGTCGCCACATATTGTCGTGAGGTGGAGGTTCCCCCTTCATATAATACATTCACCCAATTTACAGATGCCAGAAGTGGCCACATTGAATGAGTGTGGAAGTTCAAAGTGACAGACATTTTGAACTGTTCCCAAAGATGTAAATAAAGCGCTAAGCCATCAGAATGGGCCTTCAAAAAAAGGGAAACTGCTAAAGGGACTGTTATTGGGAGCACTTGTCATACAAGAGCAGAAAGACGTGTGCTCTTCCTCTCGCGTTTTGTAACCAGGCTGCGAATGTGTTGTGATTTTTATGAGACAAAAGAAAAAAGTACTCACTGGTGATAAATTGAGCGTGGCAATGAAAAAAAATATACAAATGATCAAAATAATTTTGCAGCAAATTAATATTTTTACTGACAACGTGACATCTAAATTACTGATTCTTTTGAGTAGAAAAAGGCCAGTTCCCTGATATGGTGTGCTAAAATCATCTAACGAATTAGAAAATAACCAGACATAATAATGTTATTATGGAAGAAGACTTTTCAAAGGAGGAACTGTAATCCTCTGCCCATTTTTCTCCTCTTAGTAAAGTTAACGATCACTAAATTGTTGTCATGCTTTTTAAAACTCATTCACTCCCAAAGACGTTTTTATATGTCTTTTCAGACCAGGTTTAGAATTGGCTGGTACTGAAAGAGTTTAAGTGTTATCTTTAATTTATGATAGTGTTTCTTTTTACTTATATCTATTTTGCGATACATTTGTGTTTAAGCACTCACTGGTTTAAAAAAAATGGTAAATGTGACTTAATTGGGGGATGCCTGAATGGATTAATCGGATTTGAAGTTACAAATGGGCTGACAGAACTACGGTAATTCAGTTGGTCACTAGAGGTTCCACCTCTACATCTATCTAAGGCAGCGACGTATCGTGACAGGCAGAAGAGTGAAATAGTCAGCTTTATTATTTTTTTTATATAAAATGGGAAAAAATGTCCTCGATGGATGGGAGCTGCTACGTTTGTGAAGCTTTTTATTCATACAGCATCTATTGCGAACGCTTTGAACATCTGCAATGAAAAGAGACCGAGGGCTGACTCACACATTTTTTGTTATAACTTTGAAAAGCCTTCACCTTCAAGAAGCATGTCATTTAAAAATCAGCACAATCTTCCATTTTTTTGGAGTGACATGACATTTTCTATACAGTTTTACCTGCGCAGCAACAGCTTGGGGTGGTTCTTGCTCTCCAGGTTGCGCTCTATCAGGTCCGATAGCAGATGTTTGAGGATGTCGGTGGCGTACTCTAGGCGCCCCTGCAGTGCCGTCATGATGAGCGAGGCCACGTAGCCCCGGTCCCGCATGGAGAACGAACGCTGCAGTTCCAGGGTGCGGATAAACGTCAACAGGAACACTTTGTTGTTCACCAGCTGCGCGAACTGCTTCAAGGCTTTCTCCACACTCGCCTGTCCGCTCCCCGGCACCTGCACACATCATCCCATCACGTTCTTTGCATGATTGCGTTACTGAGGGAGCAGAAGCCTTTGGAGAACTTTGGATTTATACCAGAGATACACCGCGACTTAAAACTCTCAGGATGGAGACAACAGATTGCATGAGAATGTAAAAATAGTGGTTTGCTTTCAGTAAGGATGGAGACATGTTTGCAATCTTCACTGATGGTGAAGTGGGACACTCGCCGGACTTGTGTGCAAGCCACATGAGATCGGTTCCCACTCATTGATGGTGTGAATGTGGGTGTGAATGGTTGTTCATCTCAAAATGTGCCCTGGCGACCAATTCGGGGTGTAGTGCGCCTTTCGCCCAAAGTCAGCTAGGATAGGCTCCAGCACCCTCCCACGACCTGTTCAGGAGAAGCAGTGTTGAAAGTGGATTTTTTGTGGGGGTGTCTAAAATACGGTCTGGTGGCGGAAATGCAAACTGTGTGTCAATTTCACACACTAGAAGTTTTGTTTTCAAAGCCTCTCCCACGGCTTGTTCTTCCAGGGGACTGACGGTTGTGATATTAGATTATTTTATCTGCTTCTGCATCAAATTGTCTCTGGCTCCTCTGTTAAATTTGGGTTAGGGTGGTGTTTATTATTTTTTTTATTGTTGTTTTGGATGAGGGGAAAAACAACAACAACAAAAAAGTGAAAATCAAAACCGAAACTTTTACCTTGTGCTCTTGTAAACAAAGATGTATCTTTCAGCTGCCCGAAAATGTTTTCTACTAATTCCATCCTTTCGGGGGGGCGTGTTGTCCTCATCAGCATTGAGCCAGCCAATTTCCTTGCTTAAAAGCCAATCAGAGTGATCCACACTCACAAATCAATGGCTCATTCATTCAAGACATATCTAAAAATCATGGTGACAAAAAAAACTGTTTAATGCTTCACACTGCCAAACAGATTTGTTCCTGCTTGATTTATGCTTGTGTATAAGTATAATATACTGTATATGTGTGCATTTTATTTCATGAAACGATGACTGTGGAGGGTGTGACAAACAGAGACTTCTCGACCATGTTATTTGCTTGCGATCGTGTGACAGTCATCATTTTGTTTGACTTTTAGAATTGGTCTTTACTCAAGGCAGTGTTCTCCCAAGAATGCACAAACTGAATTTTACAGGGAAAACCACATCAAGTGCACCCTTAGAATAACTACAAACAGTATCTTTTGAAAAGTTTTGAAAGATGAGATGGATTGGCGGCGGCAGTGAACGATATGACTGCACTGCTGTGAGTCGCTGAGGCTGCAAACTCCACCAGCTGCTACGACATGAAACAAACCCAAGACAAACCGTCACGTGCCAGCTAGCATTTGCTTATGTCGCTCTGTTTGACAGCACTATGACAGCCGCGGCCAAGAATACTCAAGCTATCTCCTCCATTGTATACCAGAGGCTGAAGGTCAAGATGCGAGCGATTTAAAATGTTGCCTTAGATGCATCTCACCTCCAGGTCTCTGAGCACAGGATGGTCATCAATGCCAGGGAAGAGAACCCTCATTGCATAAGTGCGGTAGTCCAAATAAGGGATGCCGGCCCGGTCCAGATCGCTTGTCAGCTCATTGATGTCGGTCTGCAGCTCAGCGAAGGCTTCACAAAACAGAAATCGAGTCATTATTTTGGGAATTCAACTGAATTATATCACAACGACACCATGGTCGGATTGCGAGTCAATCACAAGCCCTTTTTACACTGCCTGTAAAAGCAGAGTTGGGAACCGCTGTGGGAGAAGATTCTCCCTAATTTCTACCAACAATCCAGGCTCAACGTAGCTCCTCATTAACAAACGAAGATTTTAGCCTCTCAGTTGAGGTGTATCACTTCAACATTCTTGCTTGACAAATTACTACTTTCCTATGACCCAGGGCTTTGGTGTCATGCCTTCCCATGCCTCACTTATTCCCCATCAGTATCCCTCACCCTCCTTGCACTCCAAAGCCACTCGAGACTCCAGGTTGTCCATCTGCAGCTGCAGCCGCTTCAGTGTCAGGTCGTTCTCGTGCGATTTCCGTCTGTAGGCGAGCAGGACGATGACGACCACCACCAGCAGTAGCCCTCCACCGGCAGTGATGCTCATGATACCGGGCAGCGTGAGGAGGCTGTCAGAGCGGATGTGGACTTCTCCTGGAGAAATGTGAAGTCCTCCCACTTGGACCTGGACAATGCAGATTAGTGTGGCACACCCAAGAAAATTTTCTTTAAAATTGTTGAGTTGGGGGTTTCCAACCTTGCCGACATGAGACTTCAAATGCCTTGCAATAAACTAATTTGCACAGCAGCGCAAGAATAAGTTATAATGTGGCACAATCAGGCGCCATTGTACTTAGTTTTTCATTTGACGACATTATATATATGGCCTAGAGCAGCCTTCCTCAACTGGCGGACCGCGATCCACGACCGGACCGCCGACCTCCTCTGTCCGGACCTCCTCTGTCCGGACCCTCGGCAAATTGTATAAGCAAATTGTATAAAATAATAATTTATAAAGTGATTTTTACGTTATACATTTTATATTTGTGGACTATAATCTGTGCATTACCGCGATCGCTTGTTAAAATTATCCGTTTTATTCTTTGCGTGCACTAACAGATGTATTGCAGAGGACCGCAGCAGCGCGACTGTGTGTTGTATAATGTTTGACTAACTGGAGACCCTGGCTGAGCAGGGCATGTCGGCGATAACGATGCGCTGATTGGCTCCTCTGAACTTAAGGTGTGCCCATACATAAGCGTCAGCACGCGTCTATCCCAACACACACGCATTCAAAATGGATGATTGTGTCAGGAAACAGACGCATGCGCGACGCCACAGTTGTGCTCACAGCTTCAGTCCAGGAGAGCTCCACACAGACAATTAGACAAGACGAATCGCGGGAGGTTTCGATTGTGTGCAGTTTTGCTCCCGTCTACCCGGGGATCTTTGCAGCTGTTTAACAGCAGAACACCGCAACATGGTAAATGAACATCACAATGGCGTCCTCAAATAATATTTGCATGACTCAAACATTGCATTCACCTTTAGTGGAAGAACAGCACTGCACATTCCTGTGCTCCCTTGTGTCAGTTTTTAAAATGGTTCTTAACTCCTCTTCTGATATACTGTATTTTTCAGTGATTTCAGAGGGGATGTGAAGGGGAATTAAATTAAGGGAAAAAAAGACAACTACTGTTTAACAAAGTTAAAGTAAAAATTGTCTTATTTCCCTAAAAGGGCTATTTCTATTATTAAGCAGGCACAACTTAACAAAATAAAAGAGTTCCTGTGCCTCAACACAATACCTCTCATTATTTGCTGTGTACTGGCAAAGTGAATAATTGTTATTTTCATGCACCCCATTATTGGTTGGTTGTGAGGAGTGTTGATTTGTATAAGCTTGGCTTAACCATACTAAATGGGCATATAGCCCTGCTCCCCATGACCGCCGTGCATGGGACCGGACCTTGGTCTTATTAAAAAAAAAAAAAAAAAGTGGACCTACAGCATTTCTAGTTGAGGACCACTGGCCTAGAGCAGTGGTCCCCAACTTTTTTTGTGTCACGGACCGGTTGAGACAAGTACATGCTGTTCGCAGACCGGCAACCATTTTTTTCCCCCCATTGCTTTCAAATTGCCAGTTTTTAAGCACTGGTACTGTCAACAAAGATAATTATAGAGTAATTCAGCATTTTATTAACATCAGTTCCTTTCAAATAGCGTTGCTTTACTGCACAACTAATGTAAAATAAAGTAACACAGTAGACTACGAGTAAATGGGACAATTAGGAACAATAAATACACCTTAAAATGTAACCATCATCATTTTTGAAGTTACGATCCGACATACGGCGTTAGCATCATTGCTACTTGTAAATGGGGCACGATTGACTGCTGCTTTCATCCGGTGGCTGCCGGCTAGTTATTAGCGACGAAACTGCTAATGTTTACGTGGGCAGGCTGTGCAAACTCTGCTCATTTTTTTCATGCTTGCCACTTGATCATTTGGGTGCTACTTGTTTAAATGATTCAACAGGTTGACAGTACTGTCTTGTTTTGGACATAGCATGCATAACAGCTTCCTCCTCCATGTCGCTCTGGAGATACCAAACTTCTCTTGTCAAAATAGCTTTGTCTTTGGAAGTCATGACTACCCGTCAGCTGCGCGTTCCGATGTATGTGTGGCCAATTTGTTCCTATTACTTTCTGTTTACTGTTGCTTCTTTCATTTCTTGGTGGATTCTGTTTATTTCAACTTTTCAACCAAGGTTAAAAGGAGGACTCCGATTGGCTAGAGTTGCGCACATTTCCCACGTCACGTCCGATGGAGCAAATTTGCTCACAGGTCTGTCTCTGTGCGGTGCGGTCCCAAATGGGCCGAGGACGAGTACTGGTCCACGGACTGGTTGTTGGAGACCAGCGGCCTAGATGGCTTTAATATAAATATTTACTGTGTTTGTGACTACTGCGTTCATGAGATTGTGACATATTTGAGTTACTTCTCCACCTTAGGCAGGGAAGGGAAGTCTGTTACAAATGGAGGACCTGCTATTGTTAAGATTGGTCCATTAGAGCATCTTCTGTTTGCAGCCAAGTGGTGTACCCCATTTTGCCTCAGGATTACTCAGGAATTCTAAACAAACTCTTACAAGTGTTACACACTGTAAAGTGCCATTGTATTCGACATGGAAACAGGCAGTTTTTAGTTTGTTCTAGACACTCGCCGTTGCAAGTATTGTATTTTTTTTTTTTGTCCAAATACTGTATTTACTATAATGATGACTTTACTACTGCGCTCGCAAGTCTTCCCCACATGGGAAAATGTGTGTACAAAACCAAGGCTAATCTTTTTTTTCCCGCCATAAATGCAGAAGAAATGTTTGGCGCAAACCCAACACTGCTCATCCCTCAAATTTCTGCATTTGGGCCTGGGGCCTTGGACAAGGTGGGAATTAGGAACAGCAAAAAAAAAAAAAGGAAAGCCTACTAGAAAATCTGAAATTAACTTGGAGTTAATCAGAGGCACATTAAATGTTGGCAGGTGTGTGCTCACTCCCATTTAAATGTTCGGGTTATTTCGAACACAGCCCCATCCCAGTTTTACAAGGGTGTGTACACTTGCGCAACCACAATCTCAGTTTATTTTTACTTGCTGTGTGAAAAAGATTTCAAATGAAATTCTGTTTTGTTGTACTGGTTATAGGTCACATTAATAGTGGGACGTTTTGAAATAATTTGTTTTGGGCTCATGTTTTTGTTTCAACAAAAATCTCGCACTTAAAGAGGAGTGTGTGGAATTTTATATTCATTTTGTACAAATGTGGGCTATGTTACTACCATAGGAACAGAACTACATCATGAACCAGACACTTTGTCGCGATAATACGACACCAAAAAAAAAAAAAACAAACTCAGCGACCACAAGACATATTGCTTTGTTAAAGTGTGTGATAAGTCGCTAAGAACATTTTCTACCCAGGCCATTTTATGCTGTATTCATTATCAATATACTTTTTCTTTCAACAGAGGAATAATGCGGGGGTTTTATTGATTTTTTTTTCCGCTTTGCAACCAATAGACCACTTGGTAGTAGCAAACCTCCCCTCCATGGATTGCCATGGGTTCTTTATTGGCTATCAACTTTTCAAAAATCCCCTCTAACAGTAAAAAAGTAAGATGCCGCGTAGCAGGAAAAATAAACTGCCGCCATGGATTGTTTCTTTTGCCTCGTGGCCTTGTAGGCTTTGGAAAACTTTAGTCGCTTGAGATTTGTTTTGTTGCTGTTGTGGTTTTCAAGCTCCATTCCCAATTTGTGCAAGGGCGCCTGTCAATAATTCTGCAGGGCAAAGTGCTGTTGCAATTGGCTGGCAAGCGGACCGTAAATGACACACAATGAGAAGAGACAAAGCCTTTCGTTGACCTACAAAACGCACCAACATGGCAAATGTGCACTGACCCACATCCACACCAAGCAAGTAATGAGACACAATGGCAGACGGCGACAAGTATTAGACTGACCAGGACTTTGTGCTGGCCGGTGAGGTTGGGCGGCTCGCAGAGTAACTGGGTATCGGACACTGTGAGGGAGCAGGGCGTGTCTCCGATCAACACGGTGTAGTTCAGCCGGGCGCCACCCGACGCCATCGGCACCAGGTTGCGACCCTGCATCATCGAAAAGGGAAAAACATCGCCGAGATTTTACTCGCTGTGAAGCAGTTACAGCCCGGGGCTGCTAATTTGATTACTGCTGAATTGCATTAGCATATAAATGATCACCGTGGATAAGAATTTATCTGGGCTAATTCTTTAAAACCTATTTTGCAAAATGAAAGAGCGCCTGAATTTAATGTTGTTTACCGTGTTCCGATTTCAATTAAACGTTCACAATGCAAATTTCGGTGACTTCTGCTCATCCGCCCTTTTGAAGAATAATTCTCCAGATTATACCTGGTTCCCTAATCCATAAAAAGTCTTACATTTGCACATAATCCTTAAATCCACCTTTGAAAAGGGTTCAGTATATGATTAATATGAATTCATGAGAGTGGGAAACAATAAATACCGCAAGCCAAAATGGACGGCAATTAAAAATGACCAGCCGTTGTTGGTCCATGACACTTTTTGTGAGAGATGCATGAGGAAGTAGCCAATTACGTTGTGATCTTGAAACCTGAATGGAAGACGACTTAATGGGATTTGGTTTATTGATCCTCGAAAGGACACTTTGATAGTCCAGGAACATAATGCATCTTTGGGCCGTTACCGTCATCAGTGATGGGAAAAGCACTTAACTGATCAATATTTCCATTGCAGACGTTTTGTGTTGGCCAGTGAACAAATGCTGTGGTCAAACCATATTTTTACTTTTATTTTCAATTAAGGATACGGTAAATATCATGGGCATACACAGGGCGTCGAGTTTGTGTCTGCTAAATTTAATGGCGCAAAAGTAAGCTCCTCTAACCCCAAGGACAATTGTCATTATATATTTCCGACTCTGCTGTTACTAAGCAACCTGTTGGTTTCCGAGTGGAACAGCGCAACGTATTAAAGGGAAACTATGTCAAAATTGGTTTGTCGATGAAATTGTTTTTGCTGCGGTAGATACGAAACAATGGCAAATCTTACATCTTAAAATGTCATGAACGTCTCAACCTTACCCTGGACTAAACTTCAGTGTGAAGCCCAAATCCTTACACCTCACCACTTAGCTTGACAGTCTTCGTTTATGTCATCAAATGACCAGCTCGTTAGCCGCTAACGTACCTTTAGGATTATGGGAGCGCCCGGCTTCTGCTCCAGGATGCCTGACAGGCTGAGGGGCTCCAGGTAAGGATTGGGATAGTAGACAAAGCTGCTGTTGCTGTACGTGAGCAGTGCTTGGACATTGTTAAAAACGAAGCCAAACTCGTCCACGTGCTTGACGCTGTCCGCTTGGCCATCGTCGTGCTCGAACTGCAGCGACGGAGCAAAGCAGCTGATGGTGGTGGTGTTCAGCACTTTGCACACCTGCGCACGAGCCAGATCCAAGCCCAAGTTACCAAAGTGACGATAGTTCCCACATTTATACACTAAATCAATTTCCCAAACGTCACTGCACCATAATAAAAGGCTCATGCCGCGCCACCAAACAAAAATATTTGTAAAAGTATGCATAGTGAAATAATGGTGATCTCTTCTCAGTTTGCTGACAAATGTACATTTACCCAGGGTGAAATCTGGGCCTGTTTAATGAAACACAAAGGTGATATCGTCGCTGAAAGCCATGATTTAATCTGTCGTATGAATGGCAACATTTGCATACACCGGATGGAATTACCTTCTGCCACCTCATAGAAGGCCATTTAACTCTTTCATTCCACAAGACGTACTTGTATATCTTTTTAAAATTAGGCCCCGCCTACCAAGGACGTACTTGTATGTCTAAGTCTTTTTTTGTTTTTGCGTCATAGAGAGGAGGAGGGTCTGATGCAATCTGTGAATGAGAATAAGCCGTTTGCATTGTAAATCATGTAGAAAAGCGACCAGTAGGTGGCAGTGGTGCCTCACGTGCTTGAAATGCATGCTTTTACAAAAAGCTCTTTTTCTCCGTTTTTTGCCCAGGAATCGCCATTTTCATGAAACTTAGCCATTTTATAATGCCGATTGCTGAAGAATGGAAAAAGATAGAAACATTTTTTTTTTTTATGCTGAAAGAAAAGAATCCAAACTTTATTTTGGTAGGCTCCATGTTTATCTAGCATTATAACCAAATATTCTGTGGGCCTTGCAAGATCAGTCAAAATCCAGTAAAACGCTGAGATTGAGGGGGTTGCTCCAGTGAAAATGGCTGGGATTGAATGAGTTAATAGTTTCGCCTGTTACTCTACGTTGCTGGCATAGATACATGACCAAAGATGGATTTGTAGTTAATACATAATAATTTCTGGAAAAGTGAAGTGAAATTGTATCATTTCCCACGGCGCTCTAGTGTGCCAAGACACCCCGGTGTTGTCATGTTCTGTCTGTTTTGATTTTGTTTTCAGCCCCAGCAAGAGTGAGGGGAGTTGCCCTCCAGCAGGCGCACCTGTTCCTTTTTTCTAATCAAGCCTTGCCACTTTTGTCAGAACTGCCAAGCTGCCTCGTCTTGTCGTATTATTGACCTGGCTTGCTGCTCATGCTCAAGTTTCATTTTTGCTCTCTAGTCCCTCCTTTGCAAGGATTGATATTTTTTTGGTCCTTGATCTTGTTCTTATTTTGTTTCGTGTAATTGGACTTTTGTCATTTCTTTTATATTCTCGGCTTTACTATTACCTTGCCTTTTGCAAGCGCTTTTTGTTTTATGCTTTGTTTTTCCTGGCTCCTTGTGACCAGCAGTTTCTGTTTATACTTTGTCGGTGCACTTTTCTATGAATATTTTTTTGGAACGCAGTTTATCAGAGTCTGCATTTCTGGGAACCACACTCCACCTGGTTTTTGTTTGGACCTTGTCAGGTGTGCCTCATCACCCTAGTTGGGAATTACTACAGTAAACCCAATACAGTAAATCTTGCTGTCAAAAACTGCGAGTAATTGACCGCACTAAATATGGTTGGAATTGCCTGCTTGTGGATTGCGAACTGTAAATACGCAGGTATTCACTCTCGTCATTATTGACAGAAAACCGAGTAAAAGGAGCACTGTGATTTTTTATTTATTTTTTTTGTTTTTTATGCTCAAGTTATTTAGAGTGGCTTTCCTGTCTAAGCACACATTCATGCATGTTTCAGCCAACCTTCAGGCAGCCATTTCATATCGCACTGTCCTTTGTGTCAAAAACAATGGTAGCCAAATAGTAATGTGTTGTATAAACCTTTGATTTAAGTCTATTGAGCAGTCAAATCAAAAATCGGGCATTTGTATTGTATTTTGTCATATTAATATGTATGAAGTCAAGGTGACATCCGAGCAACCGTTTTGCAGAGCTGTCATGGTCGAATTTCTGATAACTGCCTCCTCAAAGATATCTGTCACGGATGTTTTTATCACTAACTCATTATTTTCCTCATTAAACTACTCAAAATCTATCTGACCTTTAAAGTTTCATCTGTGCAGGCTGAATTATAAGTGTCAAAGTGTTTTTTTTTTCCAATTGTTATCTCGGCTTTTCCACCAAATGGTTTCAAGTCGCCATCTTTTTATTTCAAAGCATTTTTTTTGCCATCCATGCTGTGTTTTAAAGATATTGACGATAGAGCTGCCACCCTCATTAAATTCGTCTGTGACCTTCTTTCTCGGCAGTTGATACATGTCAAAGGTCCACTCTAAGCCTCTCTCAGATCACGTCGCTGCCAGCAGTTCTGTCAAACATGCAATTTTAATTTAGCAGCTCAAATCCCGGGCAGGCATCATTAACACACCATTTAATTGGCTTGGAGCAGAGTGCTGTCTACACACATTATGGTGCGGTTTATTTAGCAGGTTCTCTTACATTCATCGTGTGTCTGTGCTCAGGATGAAAACTGCACTACACTTGAGGACTACCCCAAACCAGTCATGTGATGTCCACCGATTATGATCACTTAATGCTTTGATGATATCCTTGTGCCAGTGGTTCTTGTACAGTGATAAAGCCAAGCTTACTGTTGAAGAAAAGTTTTCTTAACATACGGTATATACTGTATATACCGTATTACAGTACATACCGTATATATATATATATATATATATATATATATTCCGGATATCATATTAAGTCCTATATAGCAATGAACCTGTACATGCCGCCTCTTTCTGACCACGAATATGGTGAACAACACCTTCACGCTTCGGCGAGCAAGACAATAAAACAATGTCAGGAAAAGCCCACTAGAACATCACCAGAAGTGAGTGTGACACCCCTGCTTGAGACTATTAAATATAGTGTAAAAATTGTCAATTAATGGTGCGCATAGCATTAAATAGGGAAAGTGATTGGAGTAAGGCCAAGAGTTCAGTCACTGTAGAAGTGATGTGGGTTACCGGTACTTGAAAAATTGGATGCAAGCATTGAATTGGCATCGGGCACTTGAAATCTGCAGTGTAATTCCAGCCTATTCCAGCTATGTTGTTAAAAATGATGAAAAATAACGATACAAAGTCACAATGTGTCAGTTCAGTTTTGTTCACTTTTAGTCAAGCCAGTGAGATTGTTCAATGAAAGACAAAACAAATCAAAGGATTAGAAAATACCAGCATGAATAAATCAAATAAGATATAATGAGTTGTGCGGTGAAAGCCGGGTTTAGCAGTGAATCTCCCACAGCTCGAAATCTCCTTCTATCATCACTGATCAAACATAAACAACTTCATTGGAAGTTCAGTGCAGCGCATTAGCCGATGCTTCACTCACATTGACAGATTCGTGGCCGGCGTATTTGACTCGGACTCGCGGCTCCTGCACCACGTCCAAGTTGGTCCCGGTCACCGTCAGTGTGGTGTGGCCACTACGTGGAAGGAAAGAGGACTGATTAGCGGTTGGAGTCATTCTCTTCCAAAACTCTTTCGCTAATTAGAGTGACTAACACAGATGGATGTCTTGCAAGCATTCAAACCCAATGTTGTCCTCCGAGGCGGCGGGAGAAGATATTTGAAGAAGCTGGCAAAGCGCTATGCTCTTTGTTATTGGGCAAGAGTGCCGGATCAAACGAAGTCAACCAGCTGCCTTCTATTTTTTTGTATTCAGTCACATGAATACAGGAGCTGCTTGTTTACATATTTGGAAGGACGCGGTGAGGTTACAGTGAACGACTTTCTCTGATCTCTGATGCATGACCTGTGCGTGATCTTACATCGCAGCACGTGAGAACTCAAGCCGGAGAGGTGAATTGAACATTTCCACCCTGATGGCATGCAAAACACCCTGTCTGCTCGCACGTCAAAGCCTGAAGCTAAACTTGCATAGGCTCATGGTAGAACTGTGCGTCCGAGATGAGATGCCACAGATCTCCTTGCCGATAGGAAAGTGTCACTGTAGTCTTAATCTGTAGGTAAATAGGACAGGTTTCTAGCTTGTGAAAATTTCAACAATCAAATCGCACTTTGACAATTACTAGTTGCTAAACTACTATTTGATAAGTCAATTAACCCTTGCAGGGACAGCGATTACTACAGTGGACAGTTTATCATGTTATCAGGTTACAGAGTGCATGAAAGGGTTATGGTGGCAGCTGTAAAGTAAATTGGAGGTGTATTCCACAGTTTGGTGCAATGCAAGACTCTATCCACTTTAGTTTTATAATTTCATGTTTGGGACAAGTAGGTAAAAGGCAACCAGTTGGCCACAATGATGTAACCAGACAATAAAATAATATGATATTGTCAAGTAATGTTCAAAAATGGCTCAAGCCACCAGAACCTTTGTTCTTTTCATGACCTTTATCACAGCAGTCATGTTTGAAATGGAAAAACAATCAATTGCAACGTGCCTGCTGGATAGAAAAATACAAAATAGATCACTCCATTTTCAAGGGGCTGGCGTGTGTGCTAAGGAAGAACTCATGAAATTTTGCTGAGTAATTGCCCATTTCTTCACCGCATTTCATAAAATAAGAAGACTAACAAAGAGAGTGGCAAGCAACTACTTTTTTTTTTCACTCAGTTCACCCCTTGACAGACGATTGCTCTTTAATGTGCGATGTTGGTTATGCAACGGGCATATGTGAGATGAATTAAAAATGTCCTTTGTAAGGATGATTTTCCCTCGATGCGTTAGCAGGCACAGATGTTTCTCAGTCCTGTTTGCATTCTTAGCAAAAGCAGATGAGCATCATGAGCTATACATCTCATGTCACCTTTGCTGCTGTGTGGAAAATACATTTTGAGTGGGATAGCCTGAAATGAAAACAGCCACAATCAAGACCTTTTTACACGAGTCATGACTGCTTAACTTGCGCGATGCACCCAAATTTTGAAAGGTTGCATTGACAGTGTAATTTCAACGCTTCGAAACTTGGTACCGTCATTCAGTGACAAGCGTACCTGCAGTCAGTTTTCTGACAGTAAAAGTCAGCTAATGCGCTTCAGTACATGCTTTGAGATTGTCCCACCGAGGAAATGAAATGTCTTGACTCATCTACCTAAGCCGACTCGCGTTTGTTTTTGTGCCTCTCATGAACTTGGGGCCCGTTTTCAATTTGTCTCTTGCTCATTTCGCCACGCTCCTCTAATCAAACAGCATATTCAGCACGCAAACATTAGTCGCGAGAGCCCTGCGGAGCCTCCTAAGCTACAACCATTCATGAAACGTTACACAACTAAAATTAGCACTTTGCCTGCGAGCACCACTCATAAATCCCTTTTGTGCAAGGTGCCCCTGAATTTTAGATCTTCTGAGCTGAGCCTATCTGCCAAAACTTCCTTAAAAGTCAGAAGAGGTGGCAAGTAGAGGGGGTGGGGGGGGGTTCTACATGACAACCCATGATTTTGACAGCCCATTAGGTCTAATTTGAATTTGCATCTTTCATTTATTTTCATAACTCCAAAGTTGTCGATGTTTGATTGAAACAACATGAGGTTGATAACCTGAGATTGTCATCTGCAAAAAAAAAAAACCCCAAAAAACATTGTGTTTATAACCCAAGGTTGTCGACACTTGGTTAATTAAGTGATGGCAAATTGGCCTCTCATTTCAGTCTTTTTTTTCATGATTTTGTCAGTCACCCACTCATTAGCATCTCAGTTGGACCGGTAAAAAAACAAAAATCATGACTTGGTCAGGCATTTGTGCAAAACATTCCAATCATAAAGCAATGTGTGGCCGGGTGGTTAGCACGTCAACCTCACAGTGCGGAGGTACCGAGTTCGATTCCAGCTGCGGCCTTCCTGTGTGGAGTTTGCATATTCTCCCCGTGCCTGCGTGGGTTTTCTCCGGGTACTCCGGTTTCCTCCCACATTCCAAAAACATGCATAGGAGGCTGATTGAACACTCAAAATTGTCCCTTGGTGTGAGTGTGAGTGCGGATGGTTGTTCATCTCTGTGTGCCCTGCGATTGGCTGGCAACCGGATCAGGGTGTCCCCCGCCTACTGCCCGAAGACAGCTGGGATAGACCCCAGCACCCTCCGCGACACGTGTGAGGATAAAATGGATGGATGGATGTATAATCCAAGCTTGTTGACTTTTAGTACAGTAGTTTGAAACAAAGCAACCGCCATTGGTAATCTCAGTCAACCCCATTTCCACTTTTTCTTCGTGGCTGTCAGTGATCTGATGAAAACATTCTGTTCATAATCCAAGGTTGGTGACATTGTTCGTTATAACAGTGACGGCAATTGGCATTTCAACAGGTCCAACTACACCTTCTTTTTTTTTTTTTGTTCTTGACTTGGTCACCTGGCAAAATATTTACGTTTATAATCCAAGATCGATGACACGTAGATCGTTGAAACAGTTATTAACAAATTGTGCTAATATATTTTTTACGGTTACTAATCCAGTTTTTTTTTTTTTCATTTGTTAGTATTCTGACAATCAGATTTAGCAACGTTAAGCGTATACAGCTCTGTTGCTGGCTCGTTTTTGTATCATGGGACACAACATGTTATCAGCAATAGCGTCTGTAACTAACAAGAAGAATGCACACTTATGGTGCATGTCTTGGAAATCAAATCATTTATTTTGAAGGGTAATGTTGGGTTTGGAAGTTAATGGAAAAAAAAACAGTCATAGTTTGTAGGAAATTTACAGTTGAAACTATTAATATAAGCAATAATTAAATAAGATTTAGTGGGTGTCAATTACTTTTTCACTATTTGCGAAAGGGCCTGGTTTAAATTTCATATTGCTACATCATGAACATATAATGGTGATCATTTTGGGCACAATGACTGTGATATAAAATTTTCATACCGTTTCATGTCAAGTGGCCCTAAGAGGTTTTCAGTGGACATGTCAGCTTTTTTTTGTGTTCTGTAAAGAGCACGTTTGTAAACCATCGTTGAAGATGTTTGTATTTTAAACATGGATTTCCATAGGCCATCAGAAGTGTCCCCCCCCTTACTTTGAATCGGACAGCTATGTTCTGGTGTGTTTGTGAGTGTTACCTTGCAATGCTCCACAGGGGCTCAATGCGCTGCACCGTGGGGTCTTGTATGTACTCAAAGGACAGACTACCAGGAACCTTTGCTCGGTCCACCCTCAGACCGACTGGCACCGGCCCTGCTCCGGTCATTGACGGAGCAGAAAAGCAAACCATCTCCGACGTGGTCCTCCTGTTGGAGGCGGGGGGGTCAAAAAGGAGGATTTTATTTTTCTCCCCCCAGCTTTGATAGTGGCAAATTCTTCAGTTAACACAGATATGAGTCTGGTACTTGTGTGAGGATAGGATTCATTATAGCCTGTCCCATCTACTTCTTATTACTGACACATTAGGGATGGAACGATGTAATTAGACGGCGCCGGAGCTAATGGCCCCTCGCTTCACCCTCTTGACTCACTGTCAGGCGTTTTTAACTTGAAGTAGACAGGCACGATAATACCCACCATATTCTCATCTCGATGTGTATTTTTTGTTCCTGTTACTTTTTCTGGCTGAGGTTTGTTGTAAACAAAATAGAAACAGAAAGAGGTATAGCATATACTTTGCGCACCTGTACAGCTCGCATGTTTGGTTGCCAAAGTAAACAGTGACAGAGCTGCCAGCGCCCAGGTTTTCTCCGACAATAGTGACCTTGGTACCCCCAGATTCCGGCCCTCTGTCCGGGGTAAGCACCAGCAATGAAGGGGTCTGTTGAGAACCGAAAATCAAAAGATTTTGTTAAATGTCTGGTTTTGAAGCCCCATCTCACCACCAAACCTGTGAGTTCAATTCATTCTGTGACCAACCTGGTCACTCAATTTATTCATACAGCAAATTTCCCCCATCAAATTATTGAAGTGCCATTCATCCATTCCAGCCCTCCCTCCAAAAATCCATATTATTTTGTTTTTAAGTCAAGAAAAATAGCACGGAATTGTATTTTAACAATCAAATTGATTAGTTTTATAAAGTGTGTGCCTCTCTCGATTAAAAAAAATTCGATAAGCAGCTCGATATATGGTTGTGACGCGATTTGAGGATGGTACATTTTAAAGTAGAGCAATTTAGTTTGCTTTGATGCACTCATCTTTTTAATTAAAACCAGCTTTTCCAAATGATTTTTTTCCCGTTATAGCCCTATTCATTACTCTACTACTGTAGTATCCGTGTGTTGAAAGTGATGTCAGCAGCTGGAGTCAGCTTGGCTGACTACCCTGCGTGTGAGCTGTGGATGTGAGTTGTGGCCTACAGCAGCTCATTGCAAATGTTCTCGTTTTGCTTCTCACAAGGGGCAGCATTGCTGAGGCTCGCTTGTGCCTCAAATGTTCATAACAAAGCCCAAATTCAACCAAGTGACACCTCGTAGGCTCTCAATGTACTCAAATTTAGTTAGTGTGAAATCTGACTCTGTGAAATTGAACACAAAGATATTATTGTATCTATCTATCGCTGGCATAGATAGATGAATGAAATTAAATTCTTTGTTGTAAATGAATAAATAAACAAACAAATAAATAAATAAAGTGTTGCAATTAAGTGAAACACTCAATGCTCCAATGTGCTGTGACACAGTGGTAGGTTATCACTGCAATAACAGACCAGTCTGCTGTTAAATAGGCAGATAGCAAAAACAATGAAGATCCACCCCCCCTCCCCCGCCCTCCGATGTCTTCAGAAAGCCATTAAATAATTATTATTAGCACACAGACTAATGCGCAAGATCTTTATGAACAAAAGCTCCTTAATCAAGTCTTCTATTGTCTGTTTCTCCATTTGATAATTTCAGATTGAATGGATTAAATGGAACATTGAATTACCACAAAAGAGTAGAGCTGCTGGGACTGTGCGCTTAGTTCCGGCCTGCATTCGCCCACGCAAAGCTTGACTGGGCCCGGCACGCTTCCTTTAGGAGCGGCGACCATCTTGCACACGATCCTGGTACATGGAAAATAATTTAAAGGTATATACAAAACTCAGGCAGAAAGCAACAACATTCCATCTGGTTAGTGATGTGCACATTGCAATTGTCTAAATGTGTTAAAGGTATCAGAATCAGCGTGTGAAGGGTATCAGAATCACATGCAACAGACTTGAAACCATAATCCACTTTCAACACCCTAATCCTGGTTTGAAACCATATCCCCTGCTCGAAACGCTAATTTGAAACCTAAAGTTGAAGCCCTCACTGCAAATCCTAATTTAAAATCCTCTCCCAATCCTAATCCGAGCTGGAAAGACAAATTTGAAACGAAACTCTAAACTTTAACCCTGGCTTGAAGCTCGACTTTGAAACAGACGTTTTGTCTTGAACCCTTACTTTGAAATTTACCCTGTCTTGAATCCTAATCCTGAAATCCTGAGTCAGACTTGAAACCCTAATTATGTTTGGAGAGCTCTAATTTGAAACATTAACCCAGGCTTGAAATGCTAATCCTGTCTTGAAATTTTACTTTAAATCCCTAACCCTGACTTGAAGCAGTAATCCTTTTTCAAACTTTATTTTGAAATGCAAATTTTGTTTTGAAGCCCGACTTTCAAACTAATACATTCTTGAAAACCTAATTTGAAACATTAACCCAGTTTTGAAGCCCTAATTCAAAACTTTAACTTTATACCTTAACCTTCATTTGGTACCCAACTTTGAAACCCTAGTTTGAAATGCTGACCCAGGCTTGAAACCCTAATATTAACCCTAAATAGGTTTGAAACCCTAACTTTGAAACCGGAACCGTGGCTTGAAACTTTACTTTGAAACCTTAACCCTGGCAAGAGACAGTCATCCTTTTTCAAATTTGACTTTGAAATGCCGATTTCGTTTTGAAACTAACACAATAAACATAATTTGAAACACCAACCTCTGTTTGAAGCCTTAACTGAGGCTTGTAAACCTAATCCTGCCTTGAAACTTTACTTTGAAACCTTAACCCTGTCTCCAAACACTCATCCTGTTTTAAACTTTAGTTTACCATTTTGTATTGAAATCCTTCTTCAAAATTGACAGTCTTTAAAGCCTAAACCTTGTTTGAAACCTGATCTCAGGTTTGAACCCCTAAGTTAATTGAGGTTTAAACCCCTATTTGAAATCCTAACCCTGTCTTGAAACCCTAAACCAATCTTGAAACCCTAATTTGATACCTTAACCACAGATTAGGTTGAAACCCTCATTTGAAACCTACCTGGAAACTCGAACCCATCCTTGACACCAGTTTTCAGCGCCCTTACTTTGAGAGTAAAATATTGTAATTTCACACTCTTCCTCACGGCACAGTTCTGCTTGTTGATGGTTGATGTCAGCAAGCGGCACGGTTGACTTTACACAGCGTACTGAGTGTGTGTCACATTATTTACAAACGGGCTTGCTCTCACCAAGCCACATCACGGTTTCCCATTCCAAACAATACTGTGGCAAACCAAAGTGAATAAGATTTGGCGGCTGAGGATGCACACAAAAACCCCCCAGGAATAAACACATTCCCAGGGGGCCGTCGGCTGCTCTGATTGAGACTGCTTTCATAAAAGTTGCAGGTCAATGTAGGAGACCATCTTTCTTCCTAATGGAAAACAGCACCACAACTCAAATGACAAACCGCACCACCACTCCGCTCCCCCATCCGCAGCGCCATTGTCGCCCACTATTACCTGCTGTTGTCATGACAACGTAGGAGTTACCACAATAAATCTATATTGTCTGCCGGGTCAATAAGATAAAATGTGCCATGAATACGCCATTAAATAAGTGACCACGCGTTGAAAATAATGTCTCTTATATCAGTGCTGTCTTCCTTTAAAGCGCATATTGAATCGTCAGCTTTATCTTTTCCTTGAGCATGTTTTTTTTTTTTTTTTTTTTAAATACAAGGATATAAATTATAAAGCCTCGCTGTGTGAGCCCAATCACATTACATGGCTGCAAGAGAAACACATGGCCAACAGATTGTCCCTCCAGTCAGTGACATGCCGCGCATTTCAATTACAGCTGAGCCGGCAGCCTCCAAACAGCAGCCGGCAGAAATGCCGTCTCTTCCCATTGGCTCTGACTGCACCATAGCCTGAACTAGCCACGCCTCTGACGGCAGTCCCAACAAGCCCACGTGGAAAACATAAATGCACAAATTGATTACCAAGCTTTAAAATAAGCGTGTCCAAACTACTGCCCCAGGCCATTTGCAGAGAGCAGTCCATTTTTGGTTTTTTGGTTTTGTTTTCCAGGGAGCTTTTCTAGTTATGCAAAAAACGATCTACAAATGAAGTGCTATCAACATTTCTCTTCATAAAGCTTAATGAAGATAATTCTGTTTTAGAAGCAAAAGTGGTTTCCTCCGCTTGATGCTATTCAAGGGCCGATTTCTGATCAGATCAAAAAGCAGCTCCCTTACTGTTCGGCAGTGATGTAGCCCTCCTCCTGTGGGATGCACTGCACTCCCGCCACCTGCACATTTCCCTCCAGCTCGGAGAAGGACAGCCCAAGATTCAAGCCCTGGATGGTAACTAACGTGCCGCCCTCTAGAGGTCCAGAAACTGGGCTCACCTATCAAAGGAAAACAGAGACAATGTTACCTGAATTAAAACATTTACTAGGCGCCTTAATACAAATTAATGTACCCTCCCCCAAAACATTTAAAATTCTTCATGTTAATAAACCATAATCCTATCACAAAATACGATCTCAAAACACTTTCAATAATTTCACAGTAGGCATGAGTGTCGCCTTTGCAACTCATGAACACACCAGTTGTCATTCATTCACGAGACCTCCGTCATTTGTCAGCTTGTGCTTTTTCATATCTACTCAGCGAAGCAAAAACACACGAGGTGAAGTTTCGCTTACAACCCCCGGCTAAACGTATCTCTCAGCCAAAAATCTGAACAGTCATGATGTATCTCTTCACTGTACTTCCTTGACACCAAGTGGCAACAGAAAATTCGCAAAAACTGCGATAATTGTTCCACAAAATCAGAAGAAGCCGATGCAATGTAAGCATACAACGATGGCGGGGATTGCAAAGCAACCAAGTAAGAAGACATTTGTGTGTTTGGACGATAGGGTAGAATTTTTGGTTTGGAACGAATGCCTTGATCACCACTACGGTAAAGAATATCTGACCTGCTGATACACAATTGTTTACTTTCTCATGCAGCAGTAAAGGCTGTTCAGTAGGAATGGGCAGGAACTAAAGACATACACGGTTGACAGAAAGTTATCCTGGATGAATTACATCCATATCCATCCTCTCATATGTCCATTAAGTTGCAATGTCTGTAAAAATATCTTTGTCAGTAAGATTTAGATACATGCTCTGACTGGAGTATTAGTTTGTTGCTACCAAAAATGCTGATACACATTTGTTGTCTTGTTTTGGGTTGACTCCATAATCCGCAAGGGAGATCTTGCAGTTTATACTGTAAATGCACTTTCCATGTGCCAGTCTCAGTTCTCTGACCACAATTTCTGTTTATGCAGTGTCGAGCACTGGTGAGCTTCCACTGCCATGATTTTAAGAGGAATGGGGGAGTCTGCTCGTTGCACCCCATTTCAGCCATTTCTCCCTGCGCAACGTCTAGAAATATCCCAAAAGGTAGAAAACTCTGCAAATGCACACAGTTATACTGCATTTTGCGCAAGACTTGGGCTCTGCATGAAAATAGGGCCAATGATGTGTTGCCAGATTCCAGAGACCCAACTATTTGTATGCAATTTATAAAAACTCAGTTTTCCAAAACATACCCCTCTTTAATAAAATTAATATGTAGTCCTTTCCAATGTTCAAGTCAACCCTTTCAGCTGCAACCTTTTTGGGGGCCTGCACAGCAGATTGGTAGCAATGTCACAGCAGTGCTTTCCAGTGGAACACTGCACTTGCTTCATTTTTCCATGCCTCCTTAGCAAATGCTATTAATACAAGTGGTACATCAAAGGCCCACAGCTCTTTGAAGTGCCAGCTCCGCACCATCTTCGGCGCATGACCCGCTTGCCACCTTCGCGTGAAAAGAACTGCGGTTTGTGACACAAGATCTGTCAAGTGTTTCGTAAATAACACGATTTCAACCAAGTGTCATACAGGTGAATTCACAGACTGCTTGATCGGGTCGACAAACATCCCCGCCCGGGTGATAATTTACAGTACATTTTGGGACATATACAGTACAGCTACAAATATTACACTTTTTAAAAAATATCTGTGCAGTTCAGGACTAAGCTCCCAACCACCGGTCCAGGGACCACTGCATTATACAGCGTGTAGGTGAGTTTGCAATTTGCACGTTGGTGAGGTTTTACTGGACTTCAGCCATTTGCTATGAAGACTACTTGAACATTTTTCAATAGAGTGCATGTGATTTTGGAGATGGGCACAGTTCCACTTGGCCCCTGATGCAAGTAGACAACTAAAACCTATGTAGTATTTTCACTAGACTATGGCAGGCCTTTGTTTGACGAGAGCCTAATTAAAATTTCTTTCAGGTGTCATGATTCGTCACATGGCACCAACGAACTCTGACAATCATGCGAGCAGCTCTTAATATTTAATCATGAGTATGCTAATGCATATGCTCATGACACGTGATCTTTATGGAGAATGATGTTTACCGAGTGAGGCGTCTTCCCCTACTGTGTTAGCATTCACATTTCATTGAGTCACACACACCCACAAAAGCTTCTGAGATCCCGAAAAAATTGGTTTGCTCTGGCATTCACATCTCTTTTTGATGAAAACCGCAGATGGGGAGAACTCAACTGGTGAGTCCTTGTGATCGCCCCACTTTGAATAAATGTGCATTCCAAAAAGTCCTCACAACAGCCATTAATCCTGATTTGCTCATTTTGATTAAAAAAAAAAAAATGAATGAATTGTTTCATTCGTTTTTATTTTGTTGGTTAAAGAGTTTTAAAAATATTGTGTTGGAGCTAACGTTGCTGAGCTATTTGTATTTATTTTTCAATGTTATTAAATTTTCTTTGTCAGTATATACAGTAGTTCAGTTTGCCCTCAAAAATGTTTTCAGTTTCACTATTTGTTTGAATTTCAGGCAAATATTTTGTTACAGACACAAAAAAAAGTTCTTCATTGTTGTAATATGTCAATATTTCCTCTTCAAATGTTTTGTTCTTCCTGGAGGGACGTAACAGAAAATAACTGAGAAGCACTGGCTGAAGGCAAAGCTATGTGGTTCTTTTAAATAGACGTTATTCGTTTTACAGTATGTTGATAGTAAAGCTGCCAAACAGCTAGAATCCTCTTTTCCAATTTGCTGCCTGTTGTGAAGTGAGCTTAGTTAACTGCAACCATATCAAGCTCATATCTAAAATATTGAATTCGATGAACTTGTCAGAAGGGTGATGATGATAAAAAGCGATTTCAAGGGGGTCTTTGTACTGCCTGACGTTTTGAGCCCGAATACTAAATATGAATACGGTGATCCCACTGTGCATTGTTAGATCCCAGACCCACATGCAAATGGTGCCAATCCGTGATATGAAGTGATCATGTAAAAAACAAACAAAAAAAAGTTTAGTCTACACGCTGAATTCACATAGATGTTTTTAAACACGTAAACAGTCCAAACATAATTCAACACATTTTCTTTTATGTTTAACAGATTATATAGTGGGACAGTGACCGCTGAACCATGATATAGTGGCCGATTACTGACGATACTATTCAGCGGATTGTAACTTTTCACTTGGCAATGACAAAGCACTTCATTAAACTACTTCACAGACAATCCAGTCAGACAAAAGTTCAAAGAGACAGACCTCGGTGATGCGTGGGTTGGTGCACTTGACATTAGCGGCGGAGAGGTCGAGCCAGCGGCTGGCGTACGGCGATATGGGCGGACAGTGACGCTTCATGGTGCACCTGCCCTCGTTGCTGCACCAGCCGCACTGGAACTTCTTCTCTGCCCGCAGGCACATGCCGCAGCTGTCTCGCTGGGCGCTGCACTTGTACAGGTGCACTGAGCGAGGGACACAAATCCACATATGCTGATTTATTCCAGAGTGATTTGGCAAAATGGCTGATCCAGAATCGCGACACGATAAAATATACCCCCATGCAATTTATCAAAATCCGAAAACAAGATACATTTACTGACCATTGAAGACATTCATTTTTGTTTACTGTGGCGCAGTGGCTGTTCACACTGAAATGTCTAAATCTAATCAGTGGATCTTGTGTGACTGTCTAATTTGTGGTAGAAAATGCCTTCAATTTTAAATCAAATCGCCTCAAAAGAAACCAGATAAAATTGAGGGTATAACATTCGTGGACATGCTTTGTTAATAGCGGTTAGGTGGTTGGTTGATCTGCGAGGTTGTTTGGTTGTTTACGTATTTATTAAGAGTTAAACATAAGTGGGATGGAAGCAGACAACTTCTGTCCAATCGAAGCGGCCTCCCTTATTCCCGTTAAAATGAGGGTGGTGAAAGTGAGTGCTGTGAAAAGCAAAAATTCACTCGCTGCGGGCTGCATGAAAAGTGTGCCTACACCGGTAAACTGCAAGATCTCCCCTTGCAGATGATATTGTCAGACATGCATGCTACGTGGGTAATTCGAGACCAGCTTGTATCCTCTGTGGTGCATGCGTACGTGTGTATACACCCCCAACCCCCCACATTTTGTAGTTACGCCGCACGTTCATGGGGGTGCTATTAAAATATTTTGAAGATCATAATGATAATAATTTGTTCAGTGGACTGATTCCTACAATATTTCAGAGGGATTATCCCACACGGTTGTCATATTTATGAATGAAACGTGGTAATATCCACCACACACATTTGCGGAGCGCCACATCTGTCTGCCAAAACAAAACCTTAAAATTGTGTTAAACCACCTGCAATACCATTTACACCTGCTTTTTACGAGCCTAAAATTGCAAGATGTGTCTCAGCACCCGGTTTTACACACCAGGGATATGGCAGCTCAATCTGCCATAATGCCCAGAAAGGTGCAATGTGGTCGTGAGACTAGACTTGCCCTTGAACCAAAATGAAGATGCGCCTGTTTTTACACAGAGCGCACGGGTGCCCGCCTTCGAAAATAGGGACCTTAGGTTTTACATTTGTGTCCAATATTCACCCGCTACATCTTGACTGAATAATTAGTGTTGCGGTTTGTTCATTTAATCAGTATTTTTTTTTTTTTATAAATTGGGGTGACCAAAACGTAACAGAACTGTTCAGCATTTACAAGCTATGCTTTTCAAGTACCGGTAGTTGCTTTATAGTTTATGTACGTTGTGTTGGATTGTGTTGCAGTTTTCTAAGAGCAGAAATTCATGACTATGTGACTATGTCTGTCCTTGATTACGATCATGGCGAGGCAGCCCAGGCAAACAAATTTGCAGCTCCATCTTTCACCCCTTGTGACACACTAATGACTGCCCGCTACTCGATAAGCGCTTATTGGGATTGTGAACTTTCCCTGCGAGCACTTTGGGCGGGCCTTGAGACGCCCTTAGTGACCCATCCATCCCCAGCATTGTGGAATGAGTCTCTCGCACTCCAGGCTATTGGCATAGACGGATTGAGAAAGACACCTTTAATCTTCTCGGGATTGTCGATGATGAAATTGCCGTTCCACACAATGGCGAGCTCCACCGCCAGGTCGCTGATCTTCACGCCCTCGTACATGTACTGGAAAACAGTAAACAGTCGTGAGTGGAGAAAGGACGGAAAGGCGGAAGAGAGGATGAAAGGGCAGCGGTGAGACGAGTGGCTTTTTAACCATCTGTCATCATCCACGTCAGAAGAAGATGCCCTTTTCATGCATTGCCACAGACGACACGCCTTGCATTGTAATCGAGCAACAAAGAGAAGACATCTCATCTCCCGTATTCATCTGTAGCCAATTGCTCTGGTTTTGTGGCTCTGACACCCCCAGTTTTAAAAGACGAGGTCACAGCAAATTAGCGGGAACATTTATTTGCTTCCAAAAGAAAATGGAGAAAAGAGTTGAAAGGTTAAATTAAATGACATTAGGAGCGGCAAACCGTATATGCGCATACACCATGTGTCAAAAGGTGATTAAAGAAAACAAAATGTCAAAAAATGGATTAACCAAATTTAATAGTAAAACGTCACCCACAATATAAAAAGCCATACCGAACTGTTCTGGCACTGCACGCTGGTGCTGTTGAAGCGTAGCGCAGTGACGCGATGGCCGACACCCTGCACCTTCACCACACACTCGTAGCCGCGCTGACCCGACTGCGGCTGCGGGAGATTGCGGGCCCTCAGGGTGATTGGTCGCACCTCGCCAGCCGGGATGAGGATTTGCCCGGAGTGGAGAAGCTGGGGGCAGTCCTGAATAATAAAGAAAGAAAAAAAATCTGACAAGCAGGAGTGGAATTCATGGAAATATAAAATCAACCAAATTAGTTCGGAAAAGTAAGCATCTATCCCTCTTTTTGGGATACGCACCTTCTTTAAACAGGCCAACCAAGCATTTAACCTGACACAAATTCCTCTGATATTCTTTATCACCTAAAATTGGTTTCTTATTGAAACAGATTGTAATAAGTGGTTTGACTTGATGGTGCATTTTCGTCCATGGTGTCCATAAATTGCCGGTCTGCCTGCATCTTTTCTGGAGTGTTTACATAACTGTTTCTCCACAAGATATTAAAAATCTGTCACTGTCATCTATCTCGATGTCTGCCCATCATCATCTGTACTACTAATGCGCACTTCAGTATGTCCCTCGGGGATTACAGAAGCAAAGACATCTCTAATCCCAATAATACATGTCCTGCTTGCAAGTTTTTACTGCATATTAAAGCCATGCTTAGATCCAAGCAGTTGTGTTTGTGAAATGTATGCGCTGTGGTATCAGTTTAGGGGTTATATCTGGAGAGCCACTACATAAACTACATAATCACAGTAGATCTAATATGGAATCAAAACATCTGTATTCCCTAAAAATTTTCCTTGGAATAATCGTGTTTAATCATTGCAACAAATTAGTCGCCCATTTGGTGGCTTTCAAAAAAACTTTTGAAAGCACATGTATCCTGCGGAAAATGTTTGTATTTTCACCGTTGACGCTGTAGCTCAATTCCAATTTTGTTTTTGCCCATGTGGGCCTCTTCCATTTGTGGATATCGCATCTGCAGTGTGAACCCTCATCTGTACATATCCGACCTATACATCATCACTCAGTGCTGACTTTTATGTAATCCCATTTGAACCATGAAGCATAAAGTGGACATTTGTGGTGATCGTCGTGATTTGGCCACACAGATGGTTCATTTATTCCAGTGACGTGACATCATCTGTCATAGATATCTCCATTAAATGTGGAGATTGAGGAGCATTGCCTCATTTCACCAAAATATTTCTACCTCCTCTTGCCTCACTACTCTGGCAATATGAGATGGTGAAATGAGTCCCTACCCACGGGACCATATTTACTTCAGTAAACACTGCCATGTGACATCTTTTTTTTTTTTTTTTTGGCGTGCATGTGACTTAATCTTGTGCTATATGCGCATGCGTGTCACACCACGGGCGCATTGGGTTCACATCAGAAGTCGCATTTATTTTTGTGATGGGAATGAGTACGTAAGGAGATGGGATTTAACAAAAAATCTGAATTGGGCATTTTGCCCTGCACTATGAACATAGCCTGAGTAATCTCACATGTGATCCTGCGGCATTCAATCACGAGCTCCTCGTGGAAAAATTCAGGGGGTGTAGCATGGAGTCAACGTTTGAAGATCAATTGAGGGGTCGCCATGAAAACGGGCACATGACGGCCGATTCCTTGCTGCTTTCAGCTTTAATTTTGATTATTACTAGCGAGAAATGAAGTTGCTGAGTTACATGACAAACTGAATATTATTGTCTGTCAAGGCGTTGACTAGTGAATATACAGTATGTATAGTTTCGTTCAGTCCATTCAAGCAAGTTTGTGTTGTACCTCTGAGGCGTTGACTCTGCCCTCCAGGAACGAACAGCTGCTCGGGTCATGGGTGCACATGTTGCGATATTTACACCAGTGGCACCGAAATGTGCTGTTTACACAGGACAGACACCTGCAGGATCAAGTAGACTCATTAGTGCATGCTGTGCAAATGACAGAAAAAATAAATCAAATACATGTAATACATGAAGGCAATACAAATTTGAGTAAGAGCTAACAATGATGGATGGATGGATGGATGGATACATAGGTTTAAAGATAACAAACAGACAGACAGATGATGGCGATACACAGCTGTCGGGGGAATAGAATGAGGAGAAAAAGGGCTGTTTTCTTCCCGCCAAGACAACAAAGGCTTGGCTGTGCTGTAACTGAGCTTTTTTGCTTACATTGGTCTCATGAAATTTAATTCGCTATTATGCTTGCAGGGGGGAAAATGTATTTCTGAAGCAAACTAACAAGGTAATTGGATAAAATGTGCAAACCAATGTGAAAAGCCTGGAAGAGAAAGAAACTCGGTTAGGCAGCAAATCATTTTTTTATTATTTTTTTTAAATCTAATTTCGATAGAATGTTTGTTTCACAGTAGCAAGTAGGGTAAAAAAACAGGGATGTGAAATCTTTGGCATGTGAGAACAAGAGCATCAAGCCCACCATGCAATTCTCAGAAGTAAAACCACACAGGATGAAAAAAAAAATACAAATTCCCAAAACATTAACTCACAAATAGCAATAATTAGAGGTGAAACATACAATTGTTTGTATTCGGAATTTTCTGTACGGAACAAGGTAGAAGGGTATCAAGACGGGAAGTGTTACTGGCTCACACTCTAACAAGTAAACAAACACACAACAGCTCAGCCTCTGGCGAGTGGATGTCACGGCTAGCGATATGCTTCAGGCGCAACGTCAAACTAGTTAAGTCATTTGAAACGGCATCCCTCACACATATGTTGCTGTATAAAGGGGAAATAAACTACTGCACTACAAAGGCAACTTCGAATGACATTTAAAAAGACTTTCCTGGGAAATAACAAATGTCATTGGTGTTTTTGTAGTACAGCATAATCCAAACTGTTGAAACTGTAACTTCAGAGCCTGATTTGTTCAATTCCAAAAAGAAGACAAACTATTGATTTTTCACTTTCAAAGAAAGAAAAGATTTAATGTGTTATATTGGGTATTTATTTTTATTTACAGTATATATTATTTAGCTTAGCCTTAGGTCAGCTAGTTTAAGGCTAATGTTAACATGGGCCATGATTAGCATATGTGGCTGTGTTTTAACCCTTTAATGCAAGGGGTCACAAACTCGAGAGCCCCTGTCCCGCTTGTTTTCGATGTTTACCTTCTCCAACACACATGATTCAAATGATCAGAATTGTTATCATGCATATGCAGAGGTTGCTGTTGAGCTGATGAAAGGCTTTTCCATTCATTTTAATGTGTAAGATGATTTAAGATCCAAGTGTTTTAAATTACCGATGCGGTCAAGGAACAAATTAAACTTGTATCATGTTTCAAATGCTGTCATCTTTTTTTTCGACCCCTTGTATAATAAACATTTCTTTGACTGTTGCATCATCTATGTAGAACGTTACTGTAATGGGTTCCCTCCTGTCCCAGCTTTGACAACAGCTTTGGCCATAACCTTGACAACAAAAATAGCCATAGCTCAAGGAAGTCGACTATATTCACCCACGACCTTGATCGTTCGCCTCCCAATTTTTGTAAACCTTCACGTTACCATAAACAACACGGTCAACACTTGTCGTCGTCATGATCAGACCATACGGCTTGCTTTTAAGAGACATCAATTTCGGGAGAGGGGTTTGACTCCCACTTTGCTGAGTTCGACCTTGAAATATAATAAAAGCTTGTGGGGGGTTGGGGGGGTCTATAAAACCACAATCAGTACTGCAATGCTGCAGCACCACAGACAAACGCCAATAAATGTAGTGCCATCTATTTATTGTATCATCATTAGCTGCCTAGGGGTGGTGAGGGAGGCTTGGGTGGGGGTGGTGGGGGGGGCGTAGTGTGGCCATGGAAGAATTTGAAATATGCTGTGCGGGAGGAAGTGAGAGACATGTAGTTTTTTTGTGTGTGGAGGTGAAGTATTAATAGGCTGCAACTGCCAGAGTGCTGCGGCGTCAGGATTATTAATGATATGATGCTGCAGGTCAGGAGCGGCGTTGGACGTAAAATATTCATCACAGGGAGTTTGCAGGGGTCACCGCCACGCTAATGAAGGGCCGTGTAATGTATGATGAGCTTCCCACTGCTCCCTGTAATGACTTAATTGGGTATACTCCCGTATTTATGTCGCAGTCAAAGACCCCTTTAGCATCGGCGGTGTGCTCTCTGCCACTGCGGGGTAATTTCACTACGAACACTTTCATCAATCAAATGCAACCTCCAGGAGTAACATTATTGTGTTTCAACGAATGATGACATTATGAGCTCATGGCTCAGGGTAATTTACCGAACAGTAAATTGCGTGCACTAGGCTGCTGGTTCAAATCCCAAGAGGGTATACAGTGGCAGCCTGAGTTTCAAGTTTAATTTGCTCTGTAACTCAAAACATCTCAACTTGTCTTTCCCCATTGAAATGAAAGGAAAGGAAAACAGAAGAGTTCCACAGGTGACTCAGTAAGTTGCAGTAATATTACTTTTTTGCGGAGGATAAAGAATATATACCCATAAGTTTTGTTACATTGCCATGTCATGCGTTGCTGTTTGTGTTAAAATATCCATTGTTTAAAGAGTGATGTGAATCTACAACATGGAACACTTTGTTTAGTTTCAATCAACTGGTATTTTTTTAATTAAATAATTGTTTGTATGAAGTGAGTTGGTTTTACTGACACCAGTGCTTCTATCAAAAAAAAAAAAAAATGCTCGCAAGTCAAAGCAAAACATCGTCTGAGCAATGGCTCTTATATCCAAAAACTGGGACTTGTATGTCAAGGCACCTCTGTAAATGGGTTTTGAATCAGCCAAATTTACGTAATGTGAAGAAATCGTCAAACTTATGTTGATTATCATGGCCACAGAAAACTTTATTGTGGTCTACCACTGGTTTGATCGAGGTCAATTGTTCAAGTGGGATACAATTATACTGAAATTGAACATGTTCGTAGATTTTTTTTTAACGTGTGACCTCTATATGAAGTGATATAAATAACCAAGTATCTTTAATTGTTTATTATTTAATCTTATAGCGTGTGGTGTCCTCGAGACGACAACAGAGATGAAAGTGGACTTTTCTGAAAATTCCGGAAAAAATAAATAAATAAAT